AAAGCCCAGTGTTAAAATAGAGTTTTTCTGTTGTTGAACTCTCCTTAAGGAGTATTCTGAAGTCACATATTGATGAATTTCATCATTATATGGTTATTTTGAACGTTCTGTGTAACATTTTTTAGCTACAGTGGCACAGGCAGCAGGGCACCACTGTGTGATAGCCATGTGGGAGGCCTGATTTGGATGCCAGATTGGCCTGAACCTTCCAGGCATGCCCATGCACACCTTGATCCTGGCTGTCTGGCAGGCTGGGGGAAGATTGCAGTGTGGCAAGACCATATAAGGGGGGCCAGCAGATAGCATAGTGGCTATATATCTGAACTCCCACATGGGTGACTGAGGTTTGAATCCCAGACCTGGTAGCTTGAAAATCACACTGGGCTGTGTGCATGCATGTCCAAGATCCTGGGAAAAGAATGAAGGAGAAGGGATTGTGGTGTGGCCATCCCCCCAGGGGATGATTTCTCACTTTCTCTCTCTCTGTCTCTCTTCAGGGCAAGCACACTCACCTTAAGGCAAAAACCTCTTTAAAAAAAAAAGATCATCTTAAGAGTACCTACTTTCTCCTTCTTAAGAAATAAATAAAATTTTAAAAGTTTAAAAAATCTGGGGCTCGCAGGTGGCATAGAGGTCAAGGGTGCTGAACTCCCACATGGCCAACCACAGTTTGATTCCCGGACCTGGTGGCTTGCTTTTTTGACACCCGCCCCCCACACCCCCCGTCAAAATTAAATAAATAAATAAAAGTTAAATAAAATAATTCTTTAAAATAATTTATCTATAGATGGAAATATTTTAAAAGTTTATTTATTGTTGGTAGAATATGTCAATTTTGGAGACTTCTTTTTCTTTTATTATTATTATTATTTTTTGCCCTGCGTTGAATACAGTCATTTGTTTCACTGCTTGGAATTATGATTTCAAAGTTAGTTCTTTGTGTGTGTGTGTGTGTGTGTGTTTTAAATTTAAGTTTATTTTTTTCCCCATGAAACAGACCGGTCTCCCCAACAATGTCTTCCTGCCCCAGCGCAACAGCTGACCTGGCATTGTGGGCACGTGCCTGCCTGTCGTGTTCACAGAGGGTCGTGGAGTGAACTTTGGGACCTTCCCATGTCGGTCACCCTCACAGTGTTGTGTTATTGCACCACCATCCAGCTCCCTCAAAATGATTTTTAATAAGTTCTTAATTATAGTTTTATGTGAAAGTAATAGTTGAAACTAGTTCTATTGATAAGTTATCCAGAAATGTGTTATCAAATGATAAAACTGTAACTGCATGATTAGAATGGACTTACTTGATTTCCGAAGTTGAGGAAAAGTATTGAGGCTTATGTTAAATACAGTAGATTGTGGAGTTAAGCAAGTTGGTCCAAAGCCTGGCCCAGTCACTTAACAGTGTGTAATCTTGAACAAATGATTTAATTTCTGTTTCCTTGTCAATAAAGTGGGAATCGTCATACCTTTACTACAGTGTAGTTATGGGGACAGAATGAGGTAAATGCATGTGAATGCCTAGTCCAGTCACTAACTTATGGTGTGTACACAGTAAAAATTAGCTGTCAGATAATTTTAGGACTGGTCTTAAGTTTATGGTTGTAGTCATCTTGCCTCTCCATCTTCAGGATAATCTCTAAAGATTCAAAATGGAAAAGCATTATCATGATTTTTTATTTCGGGGCTTTCTAGACACTAATAATAACATTGAATTTTCCATTATCTTGGATTATCTTGGCTTCTCATGTGAGCCACTTCCCTCCCCTATCTCTCAAGTATACCCTCACCATAAATGTAACATGACTGGACATGGGCTTTTCAGTTAAAGAGCTGTATCTTCCATAAAGCACACTTGGAGGGCTGGCCTCATAGTGCATTGGTTAAGCTCTATACAGACAACTAAGCCTGATCCCACATGGCTGACTAGAGCTGATAGAGTTCAAGAACGGGCCCCAGAGGCTTGACAGAGAGGCAGGGTGCGTGCAGGTGCGTGTGCGCCTGGGACCCTGACAGGATAGAACATTGGAAAAAACTCTGCAATGTGACCAGGCCCCATTCAGGGTTGGAAACTTCTTCTCATGTATATATACATTCCCTGTGGTATGAGATAAAAAAATAAAATAACACTTCCATTTTAACAGCTTTTTTTGTTGTTGTTCAGAATTGAATGTAAGTAGCAGTATCACTTGTTTCTTCCTAAAATATTACAGAGAAAGTTATCGGAGGTGCTGCTATTGGCCATAGGAACTTTTACTTGATATTCAGAGGATCAGGTCCTTCCTTGATCCTACGTGGAATTCTTCTGCCTGCCAGCATCCTACAGTAGTCTGACAGGCCAGGTAGTTGAAAGTTTATTTTTATGTTAATGTGTTATATCTTCCTTGTCCTAATCTCATAGCCCTCCTGAGCCTGGTGTTCTCATCACAAGTTCATAGGTGTATTGACAAGCCTTTTTGATATAAATATGTTTTAATTCCCCTTCTACAAGGTATGAGTTATTTATCCCCCAAGTTAGTGGTATCTTTAGGTGTATGTGTATGTGTGTGTGTGTGTGTGTGTGTGTGTGTGTGTGTGTGTTTGAGGGGTGGTAAGATTTTAACTTATGGAGCCAGCAGATGGCATGTTGGTTAAGGCATTGTACTCCCACATGGCCAAGTGTGGTTCCAGTTCAGATCAGGGGGATTGGTTTCTTACTTTCCCTCTCTTTGGTGAGTGCTCATGCCCTATAGCAAGTTTAATAATAATAATAATTGGGACCAGCACTTGGCATAATGGCTATATCACTGGACTCCCATGTAGTCAACCATGGTTCGAGTCCTGGACCCAGTGTCTTAAACTCAACACTGGGTGCATGTGTGTGTGTGCCCAAGATTCCAAGAGGAGAATGGAGAAAAAGGGATTGTGGCATGGCTGTCCCCCCTAGGGGTGATTTCTCACTTTCTGTCTCTCTATCTCTGCCTTTCTGGTGAGCGCATGCGCCCTATAGCAAAAACCCCTCCCCCCAAAAAAAAAGAAAGAAAAGAAAAATAAAGAATAATAAAAAGAAAAAAGATTTTAATTCATTTTGTTTTTAATTGTGATTGCAAAACAATATCCCCTCCTTTCCCATTACCACCACAGATTTGTTAGGGATCATCTTATTCCTTCTGGGTCTTGCATTAAGTTCTTTATGTTTGTCATTTAAAAATCTTTGTCTGTTTTTCACTTTAATTTTAATGTCTCTTAGTGATATCAGTCTCTACTGAAGCACATTTTGTTTCGTCTCTACTTTTTCCAGCATAGGCTTGTAGTACAGAGTACTCATGCTAGTTTATTTAGTAATAGACTAAGAATCCAAACCCCACTTTTCAGATTAATCATTCACCTTTTCTGTTTTCTTTCCCTTCCATTGCTCCTGTCTTCAGCTATAATATATAGGGAAGAATATCTGTACACCTATATCTTTCTGTCTCTCAGTGAATATTTGGAGATACTACAGGTTTTTGTTCGATGGTATAATTTACTGCAAATGTTTCAGAAGGTCAGGATAATGTCTACTGTGTTCAATAAATCTTGACTGCCTGTGTCATCCTAAATACAAAATCAAGAAACAAAACACCATACCAACTGTCAGGGCTATGTTTAGTAGTCTCTATATTCACTTGTAGAAAGATATCAGTTGATTGTAAGAGAAATTTCTTTTTATACTATAAAGAGCTCCCTAAACTTGGTGATGTGATCTTTATTATTCCTCAGAGCATAAACTAATGATGCTTTTCCAGAGAGTTTGACAAAAAGCCATTTGGGAGTCATGTTGGAATATCACTTGTGGGTATCAGAATTCCCCATGTGATTACTGCATTTCAGTCATTCTCTCAAAACTTACCGAGTGCCTGCTCTGTACCGGTCCCTCTTGTAGTCTCGGGAGCTATGTTTAAGAGTTAAAAGGTAAAATCTCCTGTCTGGATAGTCTAGTAGGATAAGATGAATAATAAACTCCGTAAATTGCACATTTAATACAGGGGTGATATGGGGACAAAAGAGCAGGGTCTAGGGAATGTAGCATGAGGGGGATGGTTACAGATGAGTAGGCCTGTTCTAAGGAGATACTGCAATGCAGATTTGAAGGAGGTAAAGGTATAAGCCATATAAATACCTGGAGGACAAATGTTCTTTGTAGATTACCAAGGCTATCTGTGTAGAACTGACTGGCTAATTAGTTCTACAAAAAGGACATATAAAAACAAATAGGAATGAAGGAATCAGTTTCAAAGTAGAAGTCTTTAAAAATGCTTTTGCCAGATGTATGCCAGATGAATGAAAACATGTTCACACAAAATCTCGTATATGCATGTTCATGGCAGTATTAATCATAATTGCCAGAGAGTAGAAACAGAACGCATGTTCATCAGTTGATGAATGTTAAAGAAAATGTGATATATTCGTACAATAGAATATTATTTGTTAGTGTGGCCAGTTTAGGCTAATCCATAGTGACAGAAAGTAGAAGTGTGGCTGCCAGCTGCTGAGGGTGGGGGGGAAAGGGAGTGACGGTTAACAGGGTTCTTCTTGAGTAACAAAGTATTCTAAAAATAGAAGTAGTAGTTGCAGAACTCCAAATATATTAAGAAATAGCACCAAATTGTATACTTTAAAAGAATGAGAGCCAGCAGGTGGCATGGAGATTAATGTCACCGTACTCCCATGTGGCCAACCATAGTTTGAGTCTCTCAACCAAGTGGCTTGAAATTCACAGAGCTTGTATGCTTGTGTGCCTGGGAGGGGAAGAGACTGCGGTATGGCTCGGCCTGCCTCCCGCCCACCCCCCACCACACTTGCCCTAAGGCAAAAACCTCTCAACAAAACAAAGCAAAACAAAAATAAGAAAAAAACAAATAACCCTTGTGAACTTGTAGAGGATGGATGGTAGGCTATGAGAGAGATTTTCTACCTTTAGTATGTGTGATTTGGGAAAACTAAGGATATGTAACATTCTATTAAATTCACACATTTTTGTCTTTCAGGTTTCAGCACAAAATGAACATAATTAGGGAAAATAAGGATTTGGCATGTTTCTATACAACAAAACATTCATGGAGGGGAAAGTAAGTATTCTTATTATTGTTTTAAACATTACTATTTCAGTATCTTAAATACTGCTGCACAGCTCATAGTGTTATTCAGTCCTTTTCTGAAAAGTGTATGTGCATATTTTAAATGCAGATGCTACGTTTAGAATAAATTATTGTTCTTTTTTCTTTTGACATTTCAAGTTTTCTATATCTGTCTTGGCGAGTTTGGTAAAAATTAAAAGTAGCACTGAAAAGGAAAGTAAACAAGTTATTCACCCTCTTGGCTATGATCAAGTAAAAATATTTTTCTTTATTTATCATTTCTGCACACAAGAGAGAGAGAGGAAAGGACACCCAGCACCTAGCACAGGGTCTGGTTATCTTGAGACCCCTCCCTCTAGTCCTCTAGATCAGTGGATCCATATGCCTGAGACCCCTCCCTCTAGTCTGCTAGAACATTTGATCCATGTGCCTGGCATGTTGCAGGCCTACCCTGCTGGGGGTTTGAACTGCTGTCACCATGTGAGATCCAGCTTCTCTTGAGCAGGGCGTTACATGGTTGCCATGAAGCTGGTGCCTGGATGCTATCAATTAATGATAAGTTTAAGTAGAGGGTTAACTTCATTACTTTATTACCCAGAGAGCAGCCTGTGTGTAATCAACACATTCCATATTCATTTAACTGTCAGAGAAAATATACCATTAATTCCAGTGAACTTTATAACCTTTTTTAGGCATGTAATGAAATTTTTAAAATTGGGTTTGATCCTTTATTTTCCATGAAAGGGGATGATGGCAGCTTCTTGAGTCAGACTAAGGTGTAAAATACTGCTTTCTTCCTGTAAGATAACTACAAATTCCCACCCCTCAGATTGTTGTAAGGATGAAACGAACTCATGTAGAGTGTATGGAGGTTTTTAAATATAACTTAAGTACTTTGGATAGTCAATGAACTGCACTTGCTGGTTATTTCAGAAGTTGTTTAGTCTCTGATCTTTTTGAGTAGTAATGGATACCTTGAGTATATCACACTGACAGAAGGTCACCACATTATTCTAAGTCGGGACACTAGATAAAATGTGGCATGCGGACAAAGCCAGTAGCTTTTATCCCTTTTCTTCTCATAGAGTGTGGTAACTTCTTAGGATGGTACAACGTCCGAATTTTATAGTGCTTCTGGTTTACATTAGCAAACTTTCTGTAAATTTAGAAGATTTAAGTGATTTCGTTTTCTTTCAGTAGCTCCATTGTAAGAACTCCTGCATTAGAGAATGTAATTGTTATTCTTAAGGGATAATTATCTGCAATGTTTTTCTCCATTTAGTTTCATTGAACAATGTTAGAAAACTGGCATATGCAAGATAGTATGAGTCTTTCTAATTCTTTGAATTAACCTTGAAGAAAATTGTATATTTAAAGGATTTATGGTTTTTACTCAAGTGGCAGATTGCTCTGGTCATCATAATATAACTTCTGTTTTTAATGATTTTAGCATACTAATGCATTAATTCTAAAGAACAGACTTAGTGCAGTACTTTTTGCTCTGTGAGCTCATCAGTAACTCATCATCTGGAAATCAAAATGTTTTTTTTGTAACACTTTGGAGCAGGACTATTTTTGTACTCTTAGTACAGTTTCTTTCCAGTCACACCTTGAAACTTCGTTTTTATAACAGCTTAAAGATCCTATATACATACCATAAAAGTCACCCTTTTAAAGTATGCAGTTCAGAGGCTTTTAGTATTGTATATTCGTAGAGTTGTGGACCATTATCACTAACTTTTTTTAGAACACTTCAAACACTCCTCCCAAAAAAAACTTCCTCTAAAAACTGCTAAAAAAAAAAAATTAAGTTACTCCCCTTTTCTTCTTCTTTCCAGCATTTGGCAGGCACTGATCTCCTTTCTGTTCCTGGATTTGCCTGTTTGGAACATCTCAGATAAATAGAATGATAGTCCCAGCTGTGGTGGTGCAGTGGTGAGGCATTGCACTGCAGTGCTGGAAGCCATATGGAAGATTGGGGTTTAGGTTCCAGGTCAATGTGTACTCTCTGGGTGTATGTGTCTGCACCTTTTACCCTGAACGGCTAAAAGGCTGGGGGAAATTGCAGCATGAGACTCTGTTGAGGGCCTTGTCTCTCTCTGTCTCTTTCTCTGTGTGTCTCCCACTCATGAGATAAATAAACTCAAAAAGACAGAAATAGAATGTTACAAAATGTGGTCTTTTGTGACTGGCTTCCCCAGTTAGTGTGTTTTCAAGGTTCATTCATGTTATAGCATGTGTCCGTACTTCATTTCTTTTTTCTGCCAGATAATACTTTATTATATGGCTATACCATACATTTATTCGTCAGTTGATGGACATTTGTATTGTGTCCATTAATTTACTATTATGAATTATGCTGCTATGAATCTTCATTCATATACAAGTTTTTGGGATGAATCTATTTTCCAGTTCTTTTGGGTATATCCCTAGGAGTAGGTATATGGTAACTCTATTTTTAACTTTTTGAGGAACAGCTGAATTGTTTTCTAAAGTAGCTGTAGCATTTTACATTTTCTCTGTTAATAAATGAGAGTTCCAATTGCTCTATATCCTTGCCAACACTTGTCGTTGTCTGTCATTTTTTATCTTAGCCTATCTAGTGTTGTTATGAAGTAGTTCCCTGTGGCTTTGATTTTCCTCCTTTTCCTAATGACTAATGATGCTGAGTATCTTCTCTTTTTTCTTTTTCTTTTCTTTTTATTTTTATTTATTTATTTATTTATTTTTGGAGAGGTTTTCGCTATAGGGCGCGTGCGCTCGCCAGACAGACAGAGAGAGACATAGAGACAGAAAGCGAGAAATCACCCCCCAGGGGGGATGGTCACGCCGCAATCCCTTCTCCTCCATTCTCCTCTCGGGATCTTGGGCACGCACGCACACGTGCCCGGCGTGAGATTTAAGCCACCGGGTCCGAGCCGCGAACCGCGGTCGACTACGTGGGAGTCCAGCGACATAGCCATTACGCTAACTGCTGGTTCCCCTGAGTATCTTCTCATGAGCTTTTTGGCCATTTCTGTATTTTGTTTGATGAAATCTGTATTGAAACCATTTACCCATTTTTAAGTTTGGCTTTTTCTATTGTTGATTATAAAAGTGCATTACATATTCTAAATCTAAATCAGATACCGTTTGACCATTCCTACCTGAAAATCCAAAATCTGAATACTGCCTAATCAGCAACTTTTGGAGGTTTCACATGACACTACAAGTGGAAAATCTCACACTTGACTTCATGTGATGTTGCAATCAAATACTGTAGTATAAAAATACTGTATAAAATTACCTTCAACCCAGGCATGTAAGAATTAAGTGAAACATAATGAATTTCATGTTTAGATTTGGGAACTGTCCCCTGGATATCTCATTAATGCATATGCAGATATTCCAAAATCAAAAAAAAATCCAAAATCTAAAACAACTTCTGGTCCTAAGTCTTTTGGATGAGGAGCACTCAGTGTCATATGTGATTTGCAAATGTCTTCTCCAGTCCTGTGACTTTTCATTTTACTTCTTTCCTAAAAAAAAAAAAAAAAAAGTTTATTTTATTTGTACGTGTGTGAGAGAGAGACAGAGAACAGCCTTCAGCAGGGTCTTGTCATTCCACCTTCCCCGTCTTCCATCCCTTCAGCTCATCAGTCAGGGTCTCAGGCATGCACATGTACCCAGTGTCCTGGCCAGGTGTGCAAACCCACCTTCAGCCATGTGGCTTTCATTCTGCTACCATACCAGACTACTGGATAGTATCCTCTGAAGCACAGAGGGTATGGTTTTGATAAAATTAAGTTGAGCTGTTTTTTCTTTTGCCATGTGTGTTTTTGGTGTCTCTAAGAAGCCATTTCCTAATCCTAGATCACAAAGATTTATTCCAGTATTCACTTCAAAGAATAGTATATCTTTAAGTTTGAGTTAATTTTTTTTTTTTTTTTGGAGAGGTTTTCGCTGTAGGGCGCGTGCGCTCGCCAGACAGACAGAGAGAGACATAGAGACAGAAAGCGAGAAATCACCCCCCGGGGGGATGGTCACGCCGCAATCCCCTCTCCTCCATTCTCCTCTCGGGATCTTGGGCACGCACGCACACGCGCCCGGCGTGAGATTTAAGCCACCGGGTCCGAGACGCGAACCGTGGTCGACTACGTGGGAGTCCAGCGACATAGCCATTACGCTAACTGCTGGTTCCCAAGTTTGAGTTAACTTTTGAATATGGTGCAAAATAGAAATTCACATTCATTCCTTTGCATGTGGCTATCTGAATGTCCCAGGGTCATTCATTGAAAAGAGTTCTTTCTCCATTGAATTGTTTCAACATCCTTAGCAAAAATCAGTTGATCATAAATGTAAGGGTTTACTTTTGGACTCATAATTCGTTTCTTTTGATCTTATAGGCCTGTCCTTTTGTCAGTAACCTTACTGTAGCTTTGTCCTGTTTTGAAACTGGGGAATCTTTAACTTTGTCCTTTTTCAAGGTTATTTTGGGTATTCCCATCTCTTGTATTTCCATATGAATTCTAGAGTCTTTTGTCAATTTTACAATAAAAAAGAGCCAGCTAGGGTATTGATAGGGATGCACTGAATCCGGAGATGTGTCTGGGAGTGTTGGCATCTTGACAGTATGAAGTCTTGATGACCCCTGAGCTGATGGTCTCTGTTGTTTCTACCTAGTTAGATCTGTTAACATTTCTTTCAAAAGTGTTGTTTTCACTGTGTATACATCTTAAAGCTTTTATCTTCTCACTCAAAGAGTGTACATTTTCTAGTTAATGATAGTTATCATTTCATTTGGTTGTATACATTATTACGTAGTTCGGAAACTTTAGTTACGCTACCTATTTTATGTGGTCAGTTCTAATCTAGGTATAAAGTACATCTCAGCCGTGTAAATTTAAAAAGTAAATGCCCTTGGAGTTAGCAGGTGGTGGGTGATTAAGGCACTGGATCCCACATGGCCAACCCTGAAGTTTAAGTCCCAGACTGGATGGGTTGAGACACACACCTAGTGCATGTGTGCATGCCCAAAGTCTCGAGAGGAGACTAGAAAATGGATTGCAGCCTGGCCATCCCTCCTGGGGATAATTTTTCCTGTCACGTTCCCTCTCTCTCTGTCTGTCGCTCTGTTGCCGTGTCCAGGGAACGCATGCACCTATGGCAAAATCTTAAAGAAAAAAAAAAGCCCCAAATGAAACAGTTTCTATTGTTTGAGATTTGCTAATTTAACCTTCTTTCTAGAAACAAAGTTTGCATCTAGTTTTGGATATTTAGTGCTTCGAATTTCAGAGACTCCACATACATGCATACATACATACACACATGTGTATGTATGTATATATGTATGTATATAGAACTAACTCAGTCCCATATTTCAGAAAAATGTTATTGAGTGTGGCAGTAAAGATGAACATTTTTCTTTCTCTTCATATGCCCAAGTTTGAGATGCCCTCTCCAGAGCCTCTCTTCAGAGATATTTATGTGATCCGTTTCTTTTACCTGTGTAGTCGTTTTCATTGTGCCTCTGTAGCCACCACATGCCGAAGCTTTTTTTTTTTTTTTTTTTCCCTTTCTTGTATCAGTTTGCTGGAAGATGCATGCACATGCTCGCTCACCAGAGGGAGGGAAATAAAAGGGAGTGAGGGGAGGGGGAGAGAGAGAGCACAGCATTCCCTTCCTCCTTTCCCATTTCTTTTTCTGGGATTTTTGGCATGGACCTGGTTTGTTTTTGTGTGTGTGTGTGTGAGTTTTACTATAGGGTGCATGTGCTTGCTTAGACAGAGAGAAAGAAAACAAGAAATCACCCCCCAGAGGAGATGGCCATGCCGTAATCCCTTCTCTTCCATTCTCTCAAGATTTGGGGCATGCACACACACGTGCCGACATGAATTTTAAGCTGCCAGGTCTGGGGTTCAAACCATGGTCGACTATGTGGGAGTCCAGTGATGTAACTAACCATTATACCATCTGCTGGTCCCAGCACCTGACATGTTTTATAGGTCACTGTTCTGGGACTCCAATCATGCAGTTGGCCATGTGGATCCCAGCAGGCTTCACCACACCATCAACTGTGTGTTCTTATTAATGGAGGTCTGTTCACCTCAGTATAAACTCCCTGACAAAGTAGCTTTTCTTCCACATCTTTTTTCCCACTTAATAAAATACATTCATATTTCATTGTCCTTTTTTTTTCCTAGAGGAGCAAGAATGAGGCGGAGTAGGGAGGAGGGAGAAGGAAGGTGGTGAAAGCACTTTTCTTTCATGAAAAAGCAAAATTTCTTTTTGGCCTAAGCAATCCATTTCACACAGGAAGGAAGGTGCAGATGTTTCAGTTAAAGCAGAAGTACAGAATCACTGGAACACTTGGTAGTAATGTAGGGTCTTAATTTTTTCTGGATACAAATTAAATCTTTATATGGATCATTTTAATATTTGGATATGTTGATCGTAGCAAATGCTCTGAAATTAAGAGTAGCATTTTAGTAGCTAAACAAGATTTTAACCACAATCCATTAGGAGATCTCTAGTAATCAGGGTGTGAAGTTCAGTGATATTCATAGTCCGTGTAAGACTAATACAGGAAATAGAGAGGAGAGTTAAGAGAAAGGGAAGCCGGGGAGTTTCTGAACCCTTTGTTTAGGTAGGAATAGATTTCTACGAGAGAAGACGTACCCTTCTCTTTAGCTGCCTGACACATACTTCACCAATTTTGAAAAGTCTAGTAATGTTGAGGGTTTTCCCCTTTACCCTAGCTCTTGTTCCTGGCAGTCAGTAACCCTCACATGAGGGATCCTGGACTCTGTTTTCTTTGTATGGAATTCTTTGTGTCTGTTAACAGGCAGCCTAGCAGCCTGGAGTTTTAACGTCTCCCATGCAGGAGTATAAACTGGGTCACATCTTCTATATAGGAATGTTTTGTTTGTTTTTAATTTGTCAGAGGGCACATGCATTCACTGGGTGAAAACGGAAAGGGGAGGAGTGAGAATGCACCAAGGGCAGTAGTCACACCACGGTCCCTTCTCTGTTTCTTCCTCCCTTCAGGATTTTGGGCACACATGACCAGGATGTTTTTCAAGTCCCTGGGTCCAGGACTCCCAAGTGTGCAGTTGGCCATGTGGGACCTAGCTGCCTTACTCACTACGCCATGGACTGGCCCAGGAATCTTAGTACCACCTAACTCCATTCCCAGTGCCATTGTCTGTTTCTAGCAGCTGCCCACCTGCATGCTCTGGCTTAGGGGTGTATTTCTTTTTTGTTAAAAACTTTCACTTTTCTATTAAAACTTCTCTTTTCCTACTTTACTTGTGTTTGTGTTTTTTCATTCTGTATCTTAGGTTGGGTCTCTGATCTTAGAGATAGGGACCCATAGAACTGAGTATTTTACAGAATGCACCTCAGCTCCCCCGTCTAATAACTGTGGTTCAGTAGCTGATCCCTAACACATCTTTTTTTTTCCTATAAAAAGTGACCATTTGAAAAAAAAAATCATGCTATAAAAAAACCATCTCAGGCCTGGTGGAGTACAGTCGTAATGCCTTTGGACCCACCTGGGAAGGTCCTGGGTTTGTGCCCCAGGACCTCCTGGAGCAGACTGCATGTTCATGCTCTTGCACATGTGTGTCCATGTTACAGGCAGGCGGAGACCAAGTGGTCACAGCAGAGTGGGTGCCTCTCTTTCTGTCTCTCTCTTTTACTGTCTCTGTCATGGAATAAATACGTAAACCTAAAAATTGTTTCACTTTAAGAATGGTGTAACTTTTTCATGTGAAAGAGAGAGCACATGAGTGTATACACATGGAAAAGAGGGAGGGAGAGAAAGGTGAGTATCTTTGGCAAGATCTCATGGTTTCCTTGGCCTATGCTTCCCATTAGGAGCACAGGCACATGCCCCTGCCCCAGCCGTTGTGGGTTGAGCCTGGAGCCAAACTTGGGCCTTTCATGCTACCGTAGCCATCACACAGCGGTGCCCTTCCACTTACGTCTCCCAGGCCGGGCTGGTATAATGTTTTTGTTTGCAAGAAATAAAATAATACAACAGATTTTTGTTATTAAATTTTGTAATAGGGCATGTGTACTTGCCAGAGAGAGACAGAGAAAGTGAGAAATTACCCCCCTGGGGGAATAGCCATGTTGCAGTCCCTGCTGCTCCATTCTCTTCTCAGGATTTTGGGCATGTACTCATATGCACCAGGTGCGATTTTCAAGCCGCCAGATCTGGAGCTTGAACTAGATCATGGGAGTAAAGCTCCTTAACTACCACACCGCTTACTGATGCAAGAAGTTTTTTTTGTTTGTTTGTTTTTCAAAGCTTATTTTATTCATGGGAGAGTATGTGTGCGTGTGATTGGATGATAGATAGGTACCGTTTATAGTGTCTTGTCATACCATAGTCCCCTTCCTCTAGCTCATTAGGATTTTGAGCATGTATGTGCCTGGCACGTTTTAGGTCATTGAGTATCAAACCTGTTGTTGACCGTGTGGCTTCTAGCACTGAAGTTTAATATGCACCTGCTGTGTCACTGAAGCTGGGCCTAAGCTGTGGTTGAATGTAAATTGATAAAAGTTTAGTTTGTCTTTTAAAACAATCTTAGCACATCACCTATAAAATCCAAAACTTCCAGTTCTAGCTTTTGGTTCAGTAGTCTTTTGCTTTCTGATGAATTTCTTTTCGCCAGCGCTATCATTAACATGACAATTTTTATTACCATTGTTATGGCAGTAAAATGCCCCATTGATAAAGCAGTTGACGCAGACACTTGTGTTTCTTGGAATGATATTAATTTCCTGATTTTAAGTAACATCATAGTTAATGGGTTATGTAAGTTACATTTCTTAATAAGCTATCATGTTACTATAATCAGAGCTGTGAAAACCTTAGAAGCGCCCACTAAGGCTTTGAAGTGTTAGCTGTTTGTAGACATCCTTGTCTGCTCCACCGCCCCCGACCCCCACCTCACCCTAGGGAGCAGTAGATGGGTATTCTCATATTAGAAGGGCTCCCACTCTGGGAACCAGCAGTTAGCATAATGGCTATGTCACTGGACTCCCACATAGTTGACCACGGTTCACGTCCCGGACCCAGTGGCTTAAAACTCACGCCGGGTGCGTGTGTGTGCGTGCCCAAGATCCCGAGAGGAGAATGGAGGAGAAGGGATTGCGGCGTGACCATCCCCCCTGGGGGGTGATTTCTCGCTTTCTGTCTCTATGTCTCTCTCTGTCTGTCTGGCGAGCGCATGCGCCCTATAGCGAAAACCTCTCCAAAAGAAGGGCTCCCACTCTAGTTTTCCACTGAACGTTAGACATGTGAAATTAGAGAAGTATTTATAGTATACAACACTTTTTTGATATGGATATGTGGTAAAGATTAAATGATGAGGGCCAGCAGATGGCATAATGGCTACATCGTTGACCGCGGTTCGAGTCCTGGACCAGCGGTTTAAACATCATGCTGGGCCTATGCGTATGTGTGCCCCAAATCCCAGGAGGAGAATGGAGGAGAAGGGATTGTGGGATGATCATCCTTCCTGGGGGGGTGATTTCTAGCTTTCTGGCTCTCCAGCAAGCGCATGCGCCCTATAATGAAATTAATTTTTTTTTTTAAAGATGATTGAATATCTATTATTTTCTTTTTGCCCAAATGGAAGTTAATTTTTTCATCTCTATTCTGTTTAGAGCCAAAAAAAAAACAACAACAAAATCTAATGTGGAATATCTCTCTTGATCTTAATGAAATATTTCTAATGTTATTTAGGTAATAATTGTCAAGTAATTATTATTGGTTTAAGGTAGTATATGCCTTTTTAGTGTATTAGTAGATTAAAGCAAAAAAACAGGATCTTCTCCATAGACGTTAGAAAGTTTTTAACAACTATTTTTGATAACTTAAAAATCTCCTACTGAAATACAAATAGATATTTCAATAAATATAATGAGTAATAAATTTTTGTAACAGTGAACTGTTTTTCTCAAATGAAACTTTCTTTGGTCCATGTGTATTACTGTTTTAATATGGTACTTGATTCTCATTGCTAATATTTATTTTAAAATAGATTGGTGCATTGATTTTATTAAATTTTAGCATCACTAAAAAAATTGAAATGCCGTCTTTTCTCTGTTTTCTGGAACAATTAATAAGCATAGGAGTTACCTGATCCTCTAAGTATCCTTTTCTCTTAAAATTGTTTGAGCCTTTGTTGGAGGACGTGATTCTTTTGTAACTTTCTTAAATTCTTCTATATATGGGTTGATTTATTCTTTTTTTAAAAAAATAATTATTTAACCTTATTATTTAATTTTGACCAGAGAAGGACAGAGCAAGAGAGAGAGAGCGAGCGAGAGAGAGGGGAAAGTGAGAGAGCAAGCCACCAGGTCCAGGATTCAAACTGTGGTTGGCCAGCCCCCTTAACCACTACGTCACCTGCCGACCCCAGAGATTGATTTATTCTTAATTTTTAAATTTATTAACATAGGCCTACATACGCATTATTTTTATTTTTTTCTGTCTTTATGATAATGAATTTCATTTATCCTCCTCCCCCCTAAGGTTTTTGTCATAGAGCACCTGTTCTCACCAGAGACAGTGAGAGAGAGAGTGAGAAATCACACTTGGGCGGGGGATGGCCACACCACAGTCCCTTCTCCTCCATTCTACTTCTAGAGTTTTTGCATGCACTCACAGGTGCCTGACATGATTTTCAAGCCGTCAGGTCCGGGACTCAAACCATGGTTGACCATGTGGGAGTCTAGCATCTTAACCACCACATCACCTGTTGGCCCCAAATTCCTTTTATTCTTAATTTTGTTTCTGTGTTTTCTTATACTAGCTAATATTTTACTCATTTTAATATTTTATTTCCAAAGAACTAATTCTTCAGTTTTTAAGTAAAATTTTATAATTGAATTTTCACTTTTATCATTATGAATTCCTGTCTCTTTGAGAGGATTACTAATATACACATGGTTTTTCTCGTTCAGATGTGTCACTTAAGGAAGTGAAGCGAGAAGTGAAAATTGCTTGTTTGTGGTACAGGCTTCCTTACAGCTATAAAATTGCAGTCCTTACATGTAACAGGTAGTTGCTTAAGTAGGGATTGTCAAGATCCCAGGCTGGGCATAGGTTTTCCTTCCTTTCCACCATGGTTTTGTGGAAAGGATATTTTGAAATAATTAGTAATATATGATGTCTCTTTTTTTTATTTTAATAAAATATTCATATTACTATCCTAGGTTAGTTTGTGTCATACTTTTCTACTTAGGAATCTTAAAATAATACACAGTGAAATTAATGTTGGTTGGGTTTTAATACCAATAGCAGTTTAGAACATTAAAGAAAGTGAGACTATGAAACTAAACTTTATTCATTATCAACTAACACATTTTTGATGATTGAAATTCTCCTTTTATATTGGTATCATATATATTTTCTTGTAAATTTTTTTTTAAAGCTGTATTTAAGCACTTGTCTTCTTTTGCAGATATAAACGTGTCTTTTCAGTTGGAACTCATGCGATTACTACGTATAATCCCAATACCTTAGAAGTAACAAACCAGGTAATCATGTTAGACATTGCTAGGTGTTTGTACGAACTCACTTTTAATTTTAAAAGCCAGGGCATGACCTGTTATCTCCTACTTGAAATCAGTACTTGAGGGCAAAAATGTCAAATCTGAAAAAGACTGTGTTCATGCAATGTTCTATACTCAAGTCCAAATGTGAGTATGAGAGGGTTTCAAAAGTTTGTGGAAAAATTAAAGTACAAGTTTACTTTGGTGCAAAAAAGTTTTGAAATCAATGGGTATTTTTCACATTTTGTATGAACTTTCTGAGGCTCCCTCATAAATAAAGCCAAAGGGGAGAATGTTTATTAATAGGCTCTCAAGGGCATATCTTTTTGATATATTGCTGATCTAAGTCATCTCAGATAATACAAGTCCCAAGTGCAGTTGGTGTAAAATCCTTGTCATGGAGGCGGATTTCTTGTTTATGATGGCAAGACTAACCTGAACGTGGACCTGTAGACATACTTAAAGACAGTCTAGTTTATTTTAATTCTAAATTGGGCATGTCTTACAAACTCCTTAGGATTAATGTCATTAATCATTAAAATTGAAATACAAATAGGACTTCTGTCTCTGACTAAAAATCTTTAAAAGATTTTTGTTATTGACTTAATTGCTACAGTAGGCCTCTATTACTTTGTAAAATTTTGCTCAATTTGTCATTGATTATGAAATTGCAGTAGGAAGAGTGTTGCAGCTTACCATATTGTGGCACCAGCTGAGAGAATTGTAGAATTGTTTTTGTGTTTTTTTTTGTTTTCTTTTTTTTTGGTTAGTGGCCTTATGGAGACATTTGCAGCGTCAGCCCTGTTGGAAAAGGACAAGGAACAGAATTCAACCTGACATTTCGTAAAGGCAGTGGGAAAAAGTCAGAAACTTTAAAATTTTCTACAGAGCACAGAACAGAACTTCTTACAGAAGCATTGGTAAGAAAGCTACCATGTTCATAAACTAAATTTCTTCTCTTTTTTAAATGAAATAGTTACGTTTAAGTACAGATAAAATGTTCTCAGCTCTTGTAGCCATTATGGTTATTTTTACTTATTGACCTTTAACTTGACACTTTGAAACTATTTTCTAACTGAAAGGCTGGAAAATTCCTTATAGTTGATATTTTTCTTTTCAAATGTATATACAGGACAGAAAGTATATGTATAATTTATCTTGTTCTTAGGTAAAGATCCACACTCATTGAATAGAGAAAGCACCCTCTCCCCAGTAGGGCACAGTCACACCATAGTCCTGTCCACTACCTTTCTACCTCATCTGAACCTGGGCTGAGCACATGCTCCTGCCTGCCAGGGCCCTCCCTTCTGGGGCTGGGACTTGAACCATAGCTGGCTCTTTAGGACCTGGTTCCCGAAACTTTTAGGCCACATGACCAGCCCTGATTGGTCTTAAACTGTAACTTTTAATAGTAGTTTTTAATGGCAAGGTTATTAAACTGGGATTTAACTTGATTTTGGTAGAAAAAACTGTAGTGTGTCTTTGTTATGAGTCCATTGCCATAAACTTTGGTTATGTTTTCTCTTTCAGAGATTTAGAACTGATTTTTCAGAAGGAAAAATCACAGGAAGGGTAAATTTTTGACATTTATTAATACGTATTTTTACTTGTTCAAATTTTATCCTTTATTATAGAAATCATTTCATAATGTATGTTCCTTCTATGACAAAGCTAAAGGGGAAAAAGTGAAGTATAAGTTTAATGTCTGCTACTAACATGTAATAGATGAAAACAGGAAATTCAATGATTAAGACTAGATTGATGATCATTAATGCTTGTAGATGTGGAAAAAAATCATCAGAAAAAAAAAAACTAGGGACAGTAAAATCAGCTTCATAATTATGCAGGCAGTCCGTATTCAGTGTTTTAAACACTAATACTAGCGAGCTTCATAGTGCTGTTGATTTTGCTTGTTGGAACATGCAGTTGTTCTTTAAGGTAGGAGTTTACTTTTGAAGTATTAAAATTTTAAGAAGACTTGAGCCTACTGAAAATGTCTTACTTGTTCTTACACTGGATCTGGTCCAAGCTTGGCATGGTACACTGACACCTCAGGAAAGTCACGGTTGATCGTTAGACTCTTAACTTTCCCAGACCTTCTCTTGTCATGTCATAGGAGCATTTAACTTAAAATAGAGATTTTTGTGGAGGGAGAAATGGGAGTTGTTGCTGTGTTCACTCTCTTGAAGCATTGAATTTCTTTCCATGAGCAGATATTAATTACTTTAATAATGGGAGGAAAAAAATAAGGCCTGAACACACATCTCTGTGCAAAACCCTGGCTTCTGGCGCAGGGCAGTAACTGGTTGTCGAGAACGTCATGACGTGTTTTTCTATGCAAAAATGTGTCTTGACTTTTCCAACAACCCAATAATATACTGGCAGCACAATTCCCCTGTCTTTTTTTTTTTTTTTTTTTTTTTTTGGGATTTTTTTGTTTTGTGCACTTGCCAGAGAGAGAGAGAGAGAGAGATAGAAAGCGAGAAATTACGCCCCGGAGGGGATGGCCACACCGCAATCCCTTCTCCTCCATTCTCCTCTCGGGATCTTGGACACGCATGTACACGTGCCCGGCGTGAGTTTAAGCCACTGGGTCCGGGACTTGAACCATGGTCAGCTACGTGGGAATTCAGCAACATAGCCACTACGCTAACCACTGGTCCCCCCTGTCTTTCTTAAGCATTCATCTTTCCTATGGATAGTTTCCCGCTTGTTTTAGCATCCAAGAAGCCTTACTGAATTGGCTGCTTGTCCAAGAGCCATTAAACTAGCTTAATGGCAGTTGCTTATTTTCTTGTCCCTGATGAGCCATGGTCAGATTTCTGTAAGTCATAACTTGGGGTGTTTATTATAATTATTTGATGATAGCAGACATATTCTCTGTATCTCATCTCTTTGGGATACAACTGCTTCCAAAAGCATAATTACAGGTTTTGTTTATAAGCTTCCCTTTAAATCAGTTAACTTCACCCACTTTATACTTTTCAAAATTTTATAATGGAAACAATGTCTCTAGAAGATTGCTTGAAGGATAGGTCATCAAATTTTATATCAGTAGTAAGGGAGTGAAAGCAACACCCATACATCCCTAAAAATATGAAAATAAAAATAGTTTACATTTCCACTCCAGACGCAGTACTCTTGTTTCAGTGGAACTTGGCCCTTAGGCCTCCGGTTGGCCTACATACACTCTACATCACGTACCTCAGAACCCTTCCCCTTGGGTCTGCAGCCCGAGGGACGATGGTATGTCTTCCCTAGCACATCTCATTCACGGCAGTTGGTGATCAGCTAGGAGGAATGAAGAATACCCTGCAGAGTGGGTTTGGGGATTGTGAGCAAGTATAGCTCGGAAGATACCAACTGTCTTTTTTCTTCTTCTCTTTCTTTTCTTATTTTTTTACATTTAATCTTTATACATCTTGACAGCATACAAAATGAATTTTCCAAGGATGAATACATTATGTATTAGGCCAGTCAATGAAATTACCATACACGTTACCATCAGCAGATTATTTTCCATTTTTGCGTCCATTAGATGTTATGCTTCCCTCCCCCCTTAATTACTTCCCTCCTGGCCCTCACTGCCCACCCTTCTCCCACACTGTCTGGTATCCACCGTTGTTTTTAAGCACCACCATGTCCGTGGTCTCCCTCCCTCTTTGCTTCTGGAGAGGCGTGGCATTGATCTGTCCTTTAGTTCAGAGTCTGTGTGTTCTTGGGTTAACACAGGTCCTTCTGTTTTCTGGAGAGTTCCTCTTATGGAACTGTCCTGCCTGATGTCATAACAGTAGTGCTGAGGTGGCTTGATGGGACATGATCTGTGGATGTCAATGCTGAGTTCACTGTTGGATGTTGGTGGTGGTCACGACTCAGTGCCTTACTCTTTTTCTTACCACTTATGAGAGAATTTCTTTCCATTTTATTAGTAGTATTAGAAGTAGCTGTACTCTTGAGCGGTCCGTTTATTTTTACCTAATGTATAATGACCGTGCTTTCCTTTTCATATTGATGGGCAGAAGACTTTGTGGCATTTGCGCAGAGGATATATTATGTCACATATGACACCTGGTTGTCTTTATTTTCTCTTTGTTTTACTTTTCCATTATTTTAAATTTATTTTCACCTTATGTTCCATATCATTTTTCTTAAAACCCTCAGTTAAGGTTTTTAAAAATTAAACTGGGTAGAAAGTGGATGTTGACCATTCTAATTCTTCTCTGATAGGCAGGCAGCTATTGGGTTGTCCAAGAAGTCGTGGATATATTTTTCTATGCAAAAATGCATCATGACTTTTCCAAGGACCCAGTACTTGAATTTACATTTATAATATAAATGTAATTTTATTTGCCAGTGTGATCTAAACTCTTAAAAGATAACTTTCCAGTGGTGTGATTAGAAAAGCCTAAGGTTAAATTTAGGCTTAGCATTTTGCTTTCTGTTATGCAAAAAGATGTATATTAATATACTGAGTTAGTTCAGGTTGTTTAAATTGAACATTTTCACTTCCTGTAATGTGATTCAGCTCTTTTCGCTATCTAACTTAGATGAAAAGAATCTTATCATCAAAAACCAAAATCTTTTTCCTAATAAAACTTCTCAAAATATATTCCTATTTAGGATTTGCTTTTTGTTTCTTTTTATTGATTTACATGAGTCACTTAAATTTTTTTTAACAAAATATTGTCACCAAAACCTTTGCTAATTAAAAAATTACATATCACTTCTTCATTTAGAGTGAACATTCTTAAAGCAGCACACCCTTTCAATATCTGAGTTTAATTTTTCCCCTAAAGAATTATTTATTTATTTATTTCTGTTTGTTGTTTTTATTTTTTGATTTGACATGAGAGAGAGAGAGAGAGAGAGAAAGGGAAAATGAGAAAGCAAGCTGTCAGGTCTGGGACCTGAACCACTTTCAGCCATGTGGGAATCCAGCGCCTTTAACCACCATGCCACCTGTCGTCCCCAAGTTTAATATTTTTTAACAATTTTGATAGTAGCTGTAAATATTTATAATATAAATCTAGATTAGATTTTTGGTTGTGATTGACACATTAAATGTAACTTTATCTTTTGGTAAGCCTTATCTTATATGAACTGAAAATAATGCTGTTTCTGTCTCTAGAGATATAACTGTTATAAACATCACTGGAGTGATACCAGAAAACCTGTAATTTTGGAAGTAACTCCTGGAGGCTTTGACCAGATAAACCCTGCTACCAACAGAGTACTGTGCTCCTATGACTATAGAAATATTGAAGGCTTTGTAGATCTCTCTGATTACCAGGGAGGATTCTGTATACTGTATGGAGGATTTAGTAGATTGGTAAGTAGTGTTTTAAAAAATACATAAGAAAGTACATATAAGAGGACAGAACTTTTGGGAGGGAAGAAAGTTTTTTCTAGTTCATTTTAAATTTAATATGAGTTCTCTGGAGGAGATATAATATTGAAAGTGTAGGCTGCAGTATCACAGGGTACCAGAGGCTGAATCCCAGTTTGCTGTTCTCTATTGTGAGTATCAGATGAGATAATTTATGTAAAATTTTTTTACACAGTGGATGGCTTAGTAGTGTTCAGTAATGGTAGTTACAGTTCTAATTCTTATTGGTATTAATATCTTACCCAAAACTTTTTCAGCTTTCTTTGAATAAAAGTACTTTAAGAGACCAGCTGGTGTTCTGGTGGGATAAGGCCACTGGATCCCACACAACCAACCACATGGTTCTAGTCTTAGACCCGGTGGCTTGCAAAACATGCCAGGTGTGTGTTTGTGCATGTCTGAAATCCCCAGCGTAGGGAGAAATGGAGGATAAGAGATTGTGGCATGGTCATCCCCCATTAGGGGTACTTTCTCATTTTCTCTTTCACCAGTAAGTGCACGTATTCTCTATCAAAAAAAATTTTTTTAAGTAATTTAAATATAGAAATTTTAGAGAGTTTTCCTGGGCCAGCCAGTGGTGTGGTGGTTAAGGTGGCTGGATCCCTGTGCTTGACTGTGTGGTTAGTCTGGACCCGGAGACCTGAAAAACACTTGGGGTGCTCTCCCAACATCACAGAAGTAAGAAATGGCTGAGAAAGGATTATGTGACATGAGTTTCTCCCTCGAGGATGTACTCTCACTTTGTTCCTTGTCTTCCCTCCACCCTTGTGAGCCCACGTGCCCTCTGTCAAATACAAGAATAAAATGGTCTTTGTCCTTTGCCTGGCTCACTGTAATCTGAAATTCGAGAACCACTGACTTCAAATTCAAATTTCATTGCATGTTTCTGTCTTGAAATTTAGTTATTCTGGGATTCAGTCAAAACTTCCTAAGATGCTGAGACCCTGCGCGTTAATCAGTAATAGAAGCTGAGTAGATGCTGACCATCTTTGTTTATGAGAGATACTCTGCCTTTCTTAGTAAGATTTAAACCCCAGATCTCAAAAGGAGCAATAGAGAGTCTCCAAGTAGAGAAGTCAGTTGAAGTTAACTTGCAAGATTCCTTTCTTTGGGCCCACCAAGTGGCATGGTGGTTAAAGGCGGTGGAGTCCCACATGGCCGACCACGGTTCAAGTCTCGGACCTGGTGGCTTGCTTTCTCACCTCCTCTCTCTCTCTCTCTCTGTCTCTCTGTCTCTCTCTGATCAAACTGGAAAATAATAATAATGATGATAATAAAAAAATTTAAATAAAATAAGTCTTAAAAAAAGAAAGATTCCTTTCTCTTGAAAATTTCAATTCCTGCAGTTACCTTATTGGCCTTGGAATGCTGTTACAAGATTTAGTGTTTTATAGATAAATACCCTCTCCTGGGTATGTATCTCCAAGGCAAGCCTGGTTTTCACTCCATAGAGAGTAAGAGGCAGTATGTGACCGGGAGCAGTATGCCTCAGTTTACAAAACGCAGTTTGCTATTCAGAGTCACAGGCCTTTTTCCAACCTCAATTTAACTTCCTTACTTGATGAGTACCATCTTGTTGGGTCATTGCAAAAGTAATGTGTTTTTCTAAGCAAAAACATGTCATGATGTTTCAGACAACCCAGTAGTTTCTCTCATCTAGGAATACGTTCTGTTAGCTCTGAGTCTAGACCCAAAAGATGAAGGTCCAAAGGAAAACTTTATTTCCTTTCTATTTATAAAACTGTCTCTTCCCTTGAAAGTGGAATTTGGAATGATTAGCCCCTTAGTGTAAAACTTGCCTAGTTATCAGAATGTGGCCTTCCTGTAGTTCATCTAAGCCGTATAATGGAGCAGAATAATTTCATTACTAAGGTTGAAGATTGTTTGATAACTTATTGCCAGTATTTTTTTATTGCCTGATGACAGAAAGTTTTAACTTTAATTATTCAACAAATATATTCTCTGCTTTTTAAATGATACTAATTAAGAGAAATCAATTCACTACAAATATGATGTCATAGCATATTAATTCAACAAATCTTTAATATGGTCTGCAAGTGATTATAGTGACAAGCTGATGAGGATAAAATCAGGTTCTTTTTTCTTTTAGGTTTTTGCTTGGGGCACATGGGCTCGTCAGAAAGAAACAGATAGAGGGAAAGTGAGAAATCACCCTCAAGGGTGATGGCCATGGCACAGTCCCTTCTCAGTTCTCCTCTTGGGATTTTGGGCATGCTCACATACGTGCCTGTTGTAATTTTCAAACTGCTGGGTCTGGAACTCAAACTGCTGGGGGCCATGTGAGAGTCCAGCACGTTTTTTAACCACTGTGCTACTCGCTGGCCCCTAAAGTCATGTTCTTAAGCAGATCTTTTTCGGTGCTTCTCAGTGAGGGCACTGCTGGCATTCTGGAAAGCACAGTTCTTTCTTGTGTGTGCCAGTCCTCCCTGTCATTTTAGGACGGTCAGCATCGCTGGCCTCTAGGCAAATGCAAATAATGATCCCTGTGTTATCCTTTCTTTCGTAAGTCCTCCCTTTCCACAGTATTAAAATATTAAGTGGAAATTTTCAGAAATAAGCAATTTACAAGTGTAAAATTACTTCCCGTTATGAGTAGCTTCATGAGGTGTTAACACTCAGAATGTAAAGCCATTCCTTTGTCCAAGGTCCTCACCTGCCCGTAAGTCACTCTGTAGCCATCTCATTTACCAGGTTGAAGTAATATACAGACTTAACATCCCTGATCTGGAACTCTGAAATCCAAAATGCTCCAGAGTCTGAGACTCTGATCTCCGACATGATATTACAAGTAGAAAATTCCATATGTAACCTCGTGCGATAAGTCTCAGTCAAAGTACTGCAATACAAAAATACTGTATAAAATTACCTTCAGACTGTGTGTAAGGATTATTTGAAATAAATGAATTTCATGTTTAGATTTGGGTCCCATCCATAGATATTTTATCCCAGCCCCAGGTATGTACACACAGGTATTCCAAAATTTAAAAAAATTCTAAACATTTCTAGGCCTATGCGTCTCAGGTAAAAGACTGCTCAGCCTATAGTGTGTGTAGTGTTCTTCACTATCTGTAGTCTCTAGTATCCACTGGGTGTCTTGGAATGTAAAGGGGGGCTATCATATAGTTCTGGAGATTGGTTTGTAATATCAGTAGGCCAGTGACTTATAGGCATTTAAACATTTTTCAGTGTAATCTTGCAAGGAAACCTGTGTAAAACGGGTTAAATCAGAGCTGTCTTGATTCAGACAGGAAATTCCCACCACAGCGTTCACCTCCTCCACTGGGTTATGTAGGGACCCTTGGGTCCTCTCCTTGCAAGTCCCAGCGTGTCTGTGCAAGGTGATGGCCAGAGCCTGAGAGGTTAGGAGAACTTTTCTGTCTAGTGAGTTCATTGCAAAGGTCTAGATCCCCAACTTTGATTTTAATTTAGGAACAGTCTTTCAAGTACAACACACTGCTTATTTTAGGTAAGTCGTACCACCTCTTTTTTCTCTAGAGTGCTACTTTAATCTTTTTCTATGAATTAATTATGACTCCATTGTTGTTTCATCTCTGACTTTTTAAATTTCAAAATTTGTGCAGCATTTATTTGCATCAGAGCAAAGAGAAGAGATTATCAAAAGTGCAATAGACCATGCTGGCAACTACATAGGTATTTCATTGAGGATCAGGAAAGACCCTTTAGAGTTTGAGCAATATTTGAATCTCCGCTTTGGAAAATACAGCACTGATGAGTCCATCACGTCTTTAGCAGAGTTCATAGTTCAGAAAATATCTCCTAGACATTCGGTAAGACCCCTGTGTTGAAAACAAAGATTTGTTTATGTGACTTTGACATTATTCTTTAATAACTTTTTTCAAATGTTTTAATTTTATTTTTTGAAGGAGCCTGTGAAAAGAGTCCTTGCACTTACAGAAACATGTTTAGTAGAAAGGGATCCAGCAACCTATAATATTGCAACATTGAAGCCTTTAGGAGAAGTAAGTTTTAGCATAATTATCTTAAATAAGATTTCTTCCTGTTGATAAATTAAAATTTTGTTTTTATTTTAATATTTACTCATGTCTGAGGAATGGGAAACAGGATAGAATCTGTATTTAATTTTAACATTTAATATTTATAGATCTTTGAACAGTAACTATTCAAAAGTTAGTTTCCAAGTACATAAAAAATGCAACTTTTTATTAAATAATTATATGAAAGTTTGAATGAGACTTTTCAGCAGCTCTTAAATTCTGATATTATAAACTATTTACATTTTTAGGTATTATCTTTTTAAGCAAAATGATGTGTAATTTTATAATGAAATAATATAGATCCAAACTTTTTTTTCAAAGTTATTTTTATTTTATTAGGTGTTTGCATTGGTTTGTGACCCAGACAATCCACAACTTTTTACCATTGAATTTATCAAAGGGCAAATACGGAAATACTCTTCAACAGAAAGGTATTTTTTTTTCTTTTTAATTCATCAAGCTTTTGATATCCTAGCCGTGTGCAAGGCAAAGAACTTGATCAAAGTGGAAAACAAAGGTTCATAATCTAGAACTTGTAAATGATTTTAAGTTGGAAAAATAATGATTTTGTTGTATATTTAAAATGACCATTCAGTTTTCAGATTCTTAAATACAGCTATAGTGGTTTAATTTTAATTGACATTTTAAATGCAAAAATTAAATTGTGTTTCTGTAAGTCATGTTTTTAGAGTATTTCATCATAGTACCTTTACTTTACTTGTTTGGATAACAGCAGCAAGGGTCTTCAACATGAATATACTTGAGTTTAATATTTATCTGTTACTATTCTAAACTAGTAATCAATTTTCCAGTGTAGTATACTTGCACATTTTTACATTATTCCTTCAAGAAAACCTGTGAGCTGCTCTAATTTTTGGTGTCTGGAAAGTAAACACATGTATAGCACTCTCGAAATGTGAATGATTGGATGGATCTCCCTTATATACTAAAAGTTTTGTCATGATGGGCAGTTCTTGACATTCTTTTCAATCTATTGTAAATAGATTAAGACCGATTCTGTTTTCTCAAGTTAGTCCAAACAGTGTTAGTACGTTTTACCGCCCTGTGCGGAGCAGTCTTCAGACTAAGGTCAGTACCCATAGAACCTTGAGGTTGTTCTTCCTGTCCTGAACTCAGAGAGACCATATGAAAAAGTAATGCAGATATTCTAATCAGAAGGAGGGTCTC